TAGATATGTAGCCCATTTTTAATTGGATCATTCAGGATTGTGAGATCTAGATTCTTGACTTCTCTCTAAGTATTGGAGATCAGTCCTCTGTCAGATTTGAGACAAATAAGTTCTAATACCAAAAAATATATGACAAAATGTAGCTCCAAGTTGTTCATTGTGAACAAGGGAGGACCTTGTTCAAATAACTTATTAATGCTTTTGACCTTTTCAAATTGAATGTATATTTCTGACTGGAAAATTAACTTAGAATAAAGTTTTAAATAGCATATTATATTTCTTTCTACAACTGTCACCATTCAGATCTATTGATGCTTATATGATAAAAGACTCCTAGATGCTAATATTTATGATACTTCTTTAAGTGAGTCTCAGACAGCCTTGATTCTTCTATGGCTCTATACCATTCAGCTAACCTTGCAGTCAATCTGAGGAACCGATTAAGATAGAATGTGGTAGGGTCTTCAATTACTCAATCCCCATTTTGTCAGTTTTTTCTTCAAGTCTGTGCCAGAGTCTAGTTCCAATGGGGTTCTTGTGCTATAGCATGAATATATGAAGTCAGTGACTAATGAAGAGTCTGACCAGAGATTGTATTCCAAACTGATGGCCCTGACTAGGTCAGGCTGCCTTTATTCACACAAGTTCTAATACATTTAAGCATGACCAGTTTCAAATCATTTCTCTTTAATCATTTTCCAAGAATCATTAGCATTGTAGTTTCTCTTCTTCTTTCCCACTCCCTTGACATCACTGACCTTTACACCACATCATTAAAATGCAACCGAAATGTTTATATCTAGTTAGAGATATCTTGTTGATACTGTGCCCTAGCTTGCAGCAAACATGCAATTAAAAAGTAAGATATTTAGGCCCTGTGATTAGTTCTTAACAATATGAAACCAGCTTAGTATATTGTGATGCCTAGGAAATCATTTTCAGATGTAAACTCCTTTCTAAGTAATCTGTATATTATTTTTATTATGTGGATTACAGTTGTAATCCTAATCTTTGTAAATTCTCAAAATACTAGTGAAGAATACCTAACTGTTTAACTATTGAGACTAAATTTCTTATTTTTCCTGGAGTTCTGCATGTACTCTTTTAAGGAAACTGGGAATTTTAGATTCTGTTATTGATCCTTTGACACTCAAAATTATCTGTGTGTTCATGACTGGTGCCAAAGAGATGTCTGATATTTTATGTCCTGTATCATGTCATTATATGTTGCTATACATTTTTAATGTTATCTTTTATGAAATTATTTTCTTTGGGGTATTACAATTTAATAAGGAATAATCATTAATCTTACTCAGAATAACTTCAAAAGCAGCCAGGGGATCAGAGAAATTAGTGTCTTTAACAGATCAGAGAAATTTATTTTTTTCTGTGAAGACTTTTGTTCCCATTAAACTCAATCATAATCATGACTAACAAAGCAAAAGTAAGAGTTTCCATAGGAATAAACATGTGAAAATTTAGAGATGCAAGAAGTCCATGGGCTTCCTAAAATCAGCTTAGGATTTTGCAATATTGTTTCTGTAGGTCCTTGCCAAATGGATGGGATTCTCCAAGGGGTCTTGCCATCTAAGAGCTCCATTTGCAAAACATGTTCTGCTACCAGGTGTGACAGCATGTCTTCCACTAACCCTGGATTTTCAAAATTTAGGGAATATGCCATGGATTAAGAAAGAAACCATGATGGTCAAAATTATCGCTAAGGGTGAGATAATTAATGCGTTAGTGTAACATGCATTCTTCCCACCGGCCACCTGGGTCCCATTGCCTCTTCCACCTCCAAATAAAACATGAGACACTATATATTAATTAAGAAGCTGTTGGCCATTTACTATGGTTTCTAATCAGCTAGCTGACTTAATTATTAGCCTATAATTACTAATATACATCTTTATAAGGACTTATCTTTCTGAGATTGCCAGATTTGTGCTTTCTTCTCCAGGGATCACATGGTGCCTCCTCTCTTCACTACATTTCCAAGAATCCTCCTAGACCCCTAGTCCAACTTTTCTTGATTCCTTATTTGCCAACAGTGCTTTACTTACATATACACAGAAGGACTTCCCCCATCATCTCCTCTTTTCTGTCTAAGTAAAAAGAAAGGTTTTAACTTTAACATAGTCAAGTTATATATAACAGAGCACAGGTATCAAGCAAGAACTCTAGTTGCAATATTTTGTCCCTTAACATTTAGCAAAATTTAATGAAAGTATCATCTATCATATCTTTGTGAGTCTAAAGTTTTATATGTAGCTTATTGTTTATCATAACTAAAGAGAACTATAATTATATCTGTCTTCAACTCCATTAAAGACCACAGAAGGATAACATATAAACACTAGAATTGACAGAGACATCTTGCTACCTGGACAGTCACCTGAAGTTCCTCTGTAACCTTGGGGCATCCATCTTCAGCCCATAGGCCACGGTGTGTCTGGCAGACTTCTCAGAAAAGCAGGAAATTTTAAACTGTCCACCTGCATTCACAGTTTGTCAGTAAGTTTTCTGTGTCCTGCAGAATGTCTGGCAGACTCTTCCATGAAGCAGGAACCCTGTAGGACTGTCCAAGTTCAGCAGCTACTTTCCTGTGGGTCCTGCATGTCCAGTTTATACTTCAACAGTCAAACAGTACAGGCAAGAGAAGTTTCTTGCTAAAATGGCTAATCTTGCCATGTTGAAAGCAAACTCAATCCTCATCTTCTTCTCAGATATAATTGGTGTGTCAGGAGCAGTTGTGCCTCACTATCATGAAAAACTATAAACCATTTAAATGCCAATTTCTTAAGGTCTTTGAAAGGTTTGAAGACTATCTCTCTCAAATTTATCTCTGTATAGCTAGAAAACCTGACTTACCTAAATATAAGTTCTGACTATTATAAGTAACTATGATCTGTATTTAATTATGCCTTATGATTTAAAAGATTGGTATAATAATGATGAAAGCCATGAAGACAGATGAACGGATAAGGGGGAGCTCTTGAATCCCAGACTGATGCCTGAGAGGCCAAGAGGGGACTGATTCAGACTTCATGAGTGTAGACTCAGTGAGGAGGCAACAGAAATCACTGGGGCCTTGGGATCAGTGTTTACCATGGTTATGAATGATCTTTGGGAGCCCATTCCAAAAGAGGGATGCTCTCTCAGTCTGGACACATGGGGAAGGGCCTTGGTCCTGCCCTAGATGAAATCACAGACTTTAGAGATCACCCCAAGGAGAACCTCACACTCCCTGGGGAATGATGTTGGGATGGGGTGGGGAGCCGGGGAGACTGATGGAGGGACAAGGGAGGAGAGGTGGAGAGGGTGCTGGGATTGACATGTGGAACATTCATATTTCTAATTTAAATAAAAACATTACAAAATGGTATAAACACAACACTCAATCAAGAGGAGAAATATACATATCACAAAATTGATCTTTTCAGCAGAAAAAAAACAATGGAATCCTGAGATTTGCAGGCAAATGAATGACACTGGAAGAAACCATCCTGAGTGAAGTAACACAATCACAAAAATAGAAACAAGGTATGTACTCTCTCATATATGGATTTTAGACATAGACCTGGGGAGTGCCAGCCTACAATCCCATGGCCAGAGAGTCTGGGAAAAAGAAGCTTCATTCAGTGGCTGATGAAAGAAGAGACAGACTCCCATGGCTAAGCACTGAGCTGAACTCAAGAAAGCCAGTCACAGAGAGGGAGGACTGATGACCAAAGGGATTAAGACTGGGCTGGTTTAACCACAGAAACAGCTGACCTGACAAAGGATACCTTTTGAATCCTAGGCATCAGCCTGGGAATCCAGAATGGGACTGATCAAGACCACCTGAATGTGGGTGTCAGTGAGGAGGCCTAGGTAATTTATTGAGCCTTGGGCAGTAGATCAGTACTCATCCCGAGTATACACACGGACTTTGGTCTCCCCTCCAACAATGTGAGATGCACTCTCACCCTGAACTCTTGGGGGATGGTCTAGGCCCTGCCCTGGATGAAATGCCAGATTATGGACACCCCCAGGGAGGGTGAGGCCCTCCCTGGGGAAATGAGGGGATAATGGGGGGCTGGGGACAGGGCATGGGAGGAGGGGAGGGAAAGGGACCTGGAACTGACTTGTGAAGCAACCTTGTTTCTAATCTAAATTTAAACTTAAAAATAAATAATAAAAAAGAGCTATGCTAGGAGATTGTCTCAAAGAAGGTCACCAGAGTGGAAAGGACTTGAGTCTGTTGCACATTTGTGGCAGATGTCCAATCTGTGATGAGTCATGGAAAATTATCAGGTAATTTGAGTACAAAAGATGTGACTATGAAATCCAGCTCCTGTGTGATCTTATATAGTTAATTGATTTCCTTGAACTTTGTTTTCCTTAATGCTATATAAAATATTACCCTAAAACAATTTAAGTGAAGATAGATAAAATCAGGTATATGTCAGTACTTTTAAAGGAATAGAAAATACAATTTCTATGTATGTTGATATTGTTGCTAATATCTTTCGGGGCTCTTATTATGAAACCACTATAATTAAAATGAGTGAATTAAAATGGAGAAATATACAAACTTTGCAGCTCCAAAAAAAGAATAAAATAAATATAATGATGTTGAAATACCCATAGAACAGTGTATCATTCAGCCATCACAAGGGAAGCTTCATTTTGCAGTAGATAGGAAGTAACAAAGAGATCTACTAATGGGCGAGACACAGAATGTGAAAGGCTCTGAAGCACTCAGTGTTAACTGTTTTTCCTACGTAATTATAACATGCAGTTGGGTGATAATAACATGAGAATTGGATCTGGGAAGACATGAGGGAGAAAGAAAAACATGATGAAATAAATCATACAAAATTTTCAAAGAACTGATAGAAATGTGAAAAAATCATTTTATAATAATGTATTCAGATTGCACACCAAAAGTATAACAGGTATAAGATTGTAAGTTTGTTTTAACAAAAAATACATAATGTAAAATAAAAGTCTATACATAACATTTAAATACTTTTTATTTTTTGTAGAATTTCATAGATGAGTACTGTATTTACCTCATTTCTACTCCTTCCTCTCCCCTCCAACTCCTCCTGTGTTTTCCCACACCCTTCCAAATTCATGACATATTCAATAAATATTATTGTCACATGCACACAGTCTATTTTCTTGAAAATGTCATAATAAAATATTTCATTTCATATTTCACATTTATGTTCACTTCTGGAGTGATCTGTGGGAATAAATACTGTGAAGATAAGGTGTACTAACCTTCATGGTAATTGTCAATTGGCAGTAATATTGGGTGACATTGCTGATGTATGGTTTGGTGGAGGTTAAAGGTTCTGTGACTTGAGTGTACTTAGAATTATATCTTGTAAACAGTTCTGAGTAGATCCATCTTTTCAGAATAATGACATAAATTTTATATTTTTACCAGGTGCCTGTGCCTCTGAGATCTATATGATCCTTCCTGGTAGACAGAGTTTTGAGGACATAAATTTAGGGTTGGAATAATTTTTTTATCTATTAGGAAGCCTAAGGCCCATCTCCAAATGCATGCTACCCAGCACAAGCTCTCAATATTTCAGTACGGATTAGAGATCCATGACACTACTTCTGTATCTTTTACCATGTTAATATATTACTTCTGAACTTCATTCATTGGCAGTAAAACATTTAGTCAAAAAGACACCTCTGTGTATAAAAGCTGACTGCCAATTCTAATGACCTATGATTGATTCAGGCCTCTTTCATGATGGAAGAAGAGATTTGATGCCTCTGACATCTGCAGGCATATGATGGCATGTTTACACACATAAGCATACCCTCTACTCCCCACACAACCCAAATAATTAAATGTATTTAAAATGATAATAAAGGTAATGTATAGAATAATCATAAAATACTTTACATCAGAACTTTGCTTTTAAAAGTAATGATTTCAAATCCACGTTAACTGTGTCCTACCAGTGAGTTTCTTCTAACAGTTGTATATAATTGGTAATCTTTTCCATGTTAAGAAAAGTCACACAATGAACATATGGTGAGAACTGAATGTCCAAAGCCTACAAGAAGAGTTTGAATTATGTCACATATTTTTCACTCTGGGGGAGATTCATTTCCGCTGATGTTTATTGCAACTGTGCCAAGTATTTTGTTATCAGTAGAAAAGAATTGGAAATTCATAATGCATATGGGAATATAGCAATTTAAAAGTAATAGCAAGCATTATAAGAAATCAAAACAAAGCAAAATATGTACAAAATGAGAGGCCAACCCTGCTTTATGCACAATGTTGCCCCATGTCATTAGATGAGGAGAAAGGAGCACTGGTCAGCAAAATTCCTTGACAAAATGTAAGAGAGTAACTGTAATTGGTGGGGAACGAGCCCTCTACCCCAACAGCCAGATGTTTTCCTTGCACTCAATTCACACTCATGCCTGGTATGTTTTCTGATAGCAGTTCTTCAATTTGATCACTGTATTTTCTTACAAAGCCAACGTGAATCCTCTTATTTATTGTCCAGTCCATGACACTGCAAAAGATGCAATTCCGTATCCCCCACTGACAATCCATTTGCATGTTGAATCTGTCTACAGCTCTGACAAGCTCTGAACACCAGTATTCCAAGGAATACAAGGATAAAGCTGGCCATCCCCATCCTGATGGCGTTCTCCACTGTGTGATATTCCTGTGACTCTGAGGCTTGATTTTGGACAAAGACAGCAGGGAAGAACAAATTCACCTTTGGATGATCAGATATCGAAACACTTGGACTGATTCTATGAGTGATAATTCTTACTCACCTGTTTTTGGTTTGGACATGTTTTGTGATACAGTGACATTCTCAGAAGATGCTAGGAAGACAAGAAGGTATACAATTGATGATGTACTTAAGAGAGTTGAGTAACTTCTCTGAGTTAAACATTCATTACTCCCTGCTTTTTCATGTCCTGTAATTGCATATCAGGCTAATCATATAATGTCAAATGATCCAGTATAAGCCATTTCCCTGATTTCCATGATTCTATCTAGAATTCTTATTGGATTCAACACAGAGATCAAAGTGTTTTAGTTTATACTTTGGGCTAAGGACTTGAACATGAAGTTTACATTGACACAGAGAACTAAGGATTGATAAAAGGAAATCCCATCTCCAATTCAGAATTTAGGAAGCCCTCCTATGCTATTTGCCCAGTCTGAGACACAGGAACATGTAAGTTAATTCATGAATGATGAATTGTGTGTGAGGCCCATAGTGAGTCTCTTTATTCAGGACCTCTTACACTCATAGTCAGGCAATGTGAACATGACTCTCACCACAGCCAAATCTTTTACCTGCTGCTCACCCAGCAGGAAGGCACATTAATGAGAATTAAACCCAAGTAACCAGACTTTAGCCTTCTTCCCTATCTGGAACTAAACTTCATTAACTGGAAAAGAACCTGATTGCCCTGCCCTAACCCTCTCACATTCCCCTACACAATGTCATCATCTCAGTGTCAGATGGGGCAAGACAATTGCAAAAGTGGTTTCTAGAAAGTTTCTCTGTATGAGAAAGACGGAGAAAGGTCAGAACTAAAATCAACTAAACATCTAGCCCACGACTCTCCTATTTACCCTTGTAGAAACTGGAAAACACACAGAAGAGGTCCTTGTCCTAGTGAACTTCCAAGAAAAGACTGCATCTACTCCATATCTAGATTGAGTCAATGGACCAATCATGCAACAGAGTTCTAGTTTAGATATCTCTTGTCAAACTCCATGGGGTGAGTAATGGTTTTCAGAGAATGATTATATGCTTCTCCTAGGGCAGATCTCAAATATTACATTGTTGGGATGACTCTATTACCTCTGAGGCTGTGATCCTCTTTTGTTGTGTGGGATATGTTGGAATTATTACTGCTTGAAATCCAGATCTTGGTCAACATCCAAGGTGATACAGAAATAAAGACTTACAGAGGGTGAGAGTTTTCATATTCTGTGATGGAACTAATGCTCTAGAGAGACAACCCTAACAATAATATTGGCATGAGCCTTGGGACCCAAGAAATTGTTAGTAATAGGACAAGAAAAAGTGATGAGAAAAAGCATGAGCTAATTATATCATCTCTTCTCCTTCTTAAATCCACACTGAAGCCTCACCATACCCTTCCAGGACCATACCTGGAACATTCTGAAGAATGTGGAAGAATGTGGACTGGGTATGAATTCAGGAATCCAAATTTGCCTCTGTGCCACTGAATAGTGAACCCTTTCTGATTACCTCTCCTTAGGATAAGTTTGTTCCCATCCCATTCAAGAGCTTCCAAGGTCAACTAATCAGTGTTACCCTCTTGACTCACACATATCAGAGTCATCTCATCTGAGAGTTTGATCAACATGGGGACACTGGAACGTGACAACATGTATGGGTATAAGTTTTGAGAAACAAAGCACCTATAGGTATGTCCAAGGGCTGAGTTTAAATCATTGATGGAGAATTCTAGCTATTTTTATTATAAATCTTTTGGCTTTGATGTTTGATGAATATATGAGTGGGATACATCTTCTTCGAAAGAAGGAAACTGTTCACTGGATTGATAATATAATCACTGTTTTGAGATTCTTTTTCATTACCTAGTCTGTATATTTTCCCTGAATGTCATTCATCTACTCCACTATCCACAGATCTGTTCATCCTGAGATAAACTTCATCATCTTGACGACCAACCACTGGCCTCCCCAAAGATTAGCTTGTTCAGAATCTGGGTGCCTGAGAGAATGCACTAGGTTCCTCACCTGTGATTAAGATGTCCAGAGGATCACTAGGGGCTGACCACTCAGAAGAGAAGTTGTGTGAACCAAAGCATCTATACCTGCCACCAGTGGAGAAATTAACAGAAACTAAGGTGAAATTGGCATGAGACTCTCCATCCCTGGTATGATGGGCATACATCTGTGAGAGGTAACTTCCACCCTCCCTGGACAGAGCAAATCTGTCATAACTCATGTCTGAACAACACTGCAGGGTCAGGTTCTCTCCAGGGGTCAGAATAGGTCCTTGCTTTGTCAGAAGGGAGGGCTTCTTGGATAGTCCTGGAAGAAGGACATGTAGAAAGTCATCCTTTGGTAAACATTCTAGTGCACGCTAGTTTTATGTCAACTGAAAAAAGCTAAAGTCATTGTGTAAAAAGGGGCATCAACTGAGGAAAAGCCTCCACAATATTAGGCTGCACACAATCCTGTATGATATTTTGTTAGTTAGCGATTGATAGAGGAGGGAAAATCCTATTGTAGAGGATACCATGCCTGGGGTTGTCGTACTAGGTTCTATATGAAAGCAGGCTGATTATGCCAGGAAGAGCAAATACCACTCCAGGACTTTTGCACTAACTTCTGCTTCCAGATTCCTGCTCTGTGTGAATTCCTCTCCTAATTTCCTTTGAGGATAAACAGTTTTGCAAAAGTTTAAGCCAAACAATATTTTCTTACACAACTTCCTTTTTGGCCATGTTATGTAATTTCAACACTAGAAAACCTAACTAAGACAAATATCCCTCCTGTCCTGCTCTGATAGTATCATGGTCTTTCATAATATGGGTGATAGCAGTCAAGAGCTCCCTTCAGCCTTCATGACTGGAACCATCTTCAGGGTAGCAGAGCTAGTGATAAAGGGCCCTCATGTCAAAACACAGTGAATGAAACTTTCTCACCTGAGACATATATCTCCAGAGGTTCACTGGCCTCTGACCATATATATGGTTTACTCTTGTAGTATCCATAACATCTAAAAGGTCCATGTTTTCTGTATGTTGCAGAGATCTCAGGAAACAGAGCCTGGGACTGTCCACTATGTATGTATTGTGCCTTGAGTGATCTGGAGAAATTCTTATCTTCAGTAGTCACAATAAAGCAATCATATTCTTTTGATGAGACACACTGGAGTGTCACATTCATACCTGATTTTACCATAGGGCTGGGCAAAGCTGACAGAATAGGTTTATCATGGTGGACACCTAGAAGAAGAGGATTAGTTGTTAAATGATACATTGTCTCCAGCAGGCTGGGCTGTGGGTGAAAACATTATGGAGATGTATTTCCTGAGAGAAATGTAAAAGACATGATGTACTCATGCTCACAGATAATATGGGAAGAATGAGCAATGTTATAAATGCAGTGTGTCTGTTCAATGGATAAAATAAATACGAGTTTTCCACCAAGAAAGCTAGGAGTATCCAAGTGACCATTTATCTATAGGTCCAAACCTCAACTAAATCCCCCAGAATATTTATCTCAGACTCTCACTCCCTAGACATTCATCATAAGCTTTTAGTTAATAAAGCCAATACTTATGTAAGATGTTATATATACTTCATACCCTGCTACCATCTTTATTTTCTCTGTCAGAGACCACAGCAGATAAAAGTAACTTAAGATATAGAACCCATCTTCATGGTCACATGCATTTGGGTTGAGTTTTGATGTAATTTTGCCTAGTTTTCAAAATTGTACTGTGTTTAGGTATGCTTAAAACAAACCACATGGTGTCAGAATTTCCAGAAGTTTGAACCAGCAGTTATTATGCCAACCTGAACTGAGTTTTCCTTCTTTCTTCCTGTGAGTCTTTTTGTGGCCAGTAGTAGTGTTTTTAGTTGCCCACAGAGGAAAATATGAAGATTCTGTCCTTCAGTGTCCACTCACCTGTCACCACCAACTCCAGGGAGTCACTGTGATGAGACCATCCATCCACATTATAACAGTAACAGCGATACCGCCCTGCATGATACTGTGTTATGGATGAGATGAAAAAATTGACCTTGTAGTATTGCCCCGGTTCAATTAATCTGTGCCGAATTATTGGGCTTCCTTCTTTATACAGGAAATATATTTGGTTTTTCATGTTTCCCTCACAAAAGATAGTCACAGAATTGTTTGTTGTGATGACAGAGCCTGGCTCAGCCTTGATGGTGGGTTTCTGAAGGGTCCCTGCAAAGAAGTATATGAGAAGGATGTGAGACTTCAGTTTTACAGTGAATGTGAAACTAAGACTCGAATAACAGGTGGACACATGAAAAATTCTGATGATCCATCTCCTCCTGACAATTTGAAATTCCGTTCTCACAACCCCCTCATTGTTTTAAGTATCTTGACTTCCACAATCTGCATCTGTAGCAGAGGGATAATGGTCCTGTCTTTCCTTGTACTTATCACACATTAGGGTATCCTAGGAAACCTGTTTAAGTCTCAGTGTCATTCTCTACAGACGCTGCAGTTTCCTCACCTGAAACTAGAAGCTCCAGGATGTCACTCCCTTCTGACAATACATGAGGCTTGCTTGAGTAATAGCCATAGCAACTGAACCTCCATCTTTCACTGATTGTGATGGGACCAACTTGGAATATGGCTGGAGACATCCCAGTATATATATATTGTAAGTCCATGGAACTGGAGAATTGCTTGTCCTTAATTAGAATGAAACTGTTATATCTCTGATTTGAGACACATGAGAGGTTCACAGATCCTCCTAAGGTTACAATAGGGTTCTGCAGTGCAGACAGGGTGGGTTTGTTATAGATACCTAGAAGAGATGCATATAAAATATTAAATGGATTTACCCAGTGTGGATTGCCTGCCAGACCTGAGTAATGAGTGGGAACACATTCAGAGCAGAACTTTCTAAAGAGTCTCTTCTGGGGATCCATATGATTCCTAAATATCTACTCAACTGTTCCCACCAGCTCCAGGATGTCACTGCATTCTGACCACCAAGAAGCATTTTAATAGTAACAGTGATATTTCCCTGTAGTCAGTGTTGTCACAGATGGGATAGTAAATTTTGCCTCATTGTGATTATATGGGGTCTTTCTGTGCCAGGGTTCTAGGCTTCCCTTTTTATGTAGAACATACATTTGGGTTTCTCAGGTCCCCTCATATCAGATGGTGACAGAATTCTTTGATATGATCAGAGTGACTGACTGAGCCTAGATGGTGGGTTTGTGGAGAGCCACTGTGAAATAGAAGAAAATGAGATGCATCTCTTAGGACACATGTGCAAAGGTTATACTTGCAAATGACACTTAGATGCTGCCTAAGGTAGAAGGACATATAATGACTCAAGATTCCCAAGGATTCCTAAGTTTGTTTCTGTACCTGAAATCCTATTGTCTCCCACATTCTTCAAAATTGGATTCATGAGCATGAGTTCATTAACCCACTGCATATCATCTTTCACTGTGACCCTGTGTCATGCCCATTATCATTGAAAGCAAAGTTTACTGTTTCCTTTACCTGAGACCAGGAGTTCTAGGTGGTTACTGGGTAATGACCACAGCTGGGAGCTGTTCTTGTAATAGCCATAGCATGTGAAAATCCATCTCTGGATGTGGCTTACAGGACCTACTGGGAACTGGGCGTGAAATAGTCTGGTGTTTGTGTTCTTTGAGGCCATGGAACTGGAGAATTTCTGATCTTCCTTCATTAGAATGAAACTGTCATATTTTTCTTGTGAAGAACACTGAAGAATCCTGTAACTTTTGGAAGGCACCACAGGACTGGGCAGAGATGACAGAATGACTTTGATGGAGTATACTCCTAGGAGAGATGACAAATCCACCTAAGTGTATTTATATGGCTAATATTGCCCTCCCTCTTCCAGAATTTGAGAAAGTTACCCCACAATGAATGCGTTTGTTTCCTCAAGACAGATCCCAGCGCTGGAGAAGGGTACTCTCACCTGTCACAACCAGTTCCAGGATGTCACTTTGTTCTGATGTACCAGCAGGGTTTTTGTAGTAACATGAATATTGGCCTGCATTGTGACTTTCAATCGATGAGATAAATAACTTGCCTTTTTCCTCAGTGTCTTGATGAGTTGGTGGTATCTGGGAGTCTGGTTTTCCATCTTTATAGAGATGATATTCCTTGGCATCTAAGGGACCTTCACAAATTATAGTTACCTGATTCCCAATGGTTACCACATTCCTTGGCACAGCTCTGAGTGTGGGCTTAAAGAGGCCCCCTGGAAACAGGAAAAGAAACAAACAAGTAGAAAAACAAGTTAGGTCTGAGAACATCCCACTGAGACCCAAGCTCTCAACTTCAGGACATATCAGGCAACACCAGAAGCAGCCCATATCAGCTTTTCTCCATCCCTTTTCTTCACATGTGACCCTTGATTTCCATTGAGAATGTACACCCTAGGACATCTGGGAAGACACTCACCTGCCAGCACTGGGTTCTTGCGGTCCAGACTCAGTCCTGCAAGAGAGTTACCTGTGAGTGTATTCACTTGAAGCCTGAGCACTACCTCTAATTCCAGGTCCCTTTTGTGCTACTGAGATACCCTGATGGACTAACACTTGGCTGTGAGATGGACTCCCTTTCATGGAAGAATTCTCTCTCTACAATTCCATTTCTCACCAAGACAGAGAAGAAATGTGAGGATTTGGATCATGGCATCTTCTGTTTGCCAAAAGTTTGTAAAAGGTTTATCCCCTTGCCAAATGAACAGACAGTAATTGCATAGCCCTTGCAGTCGGGTGTATCCTTGTAATGTGTATATTGCACAGACAGTCCTTTAAAAAACAGGAACTACTCTTTTTAGGCACGTAGCTTTTGTTTTCTCATGGCCATGAAGGGTGGGGCTCTGATGGATGTGGTCGCTGGTTCTGTGTAGTTCTTTTGTTTTAGTTTTTGTTTCTGACATGAAGTCTCCTGAAACTTAGGCAGGTCTCAATTTACTCAATTTACTCCATTTCTCAGTGAGTTTCCTGGTTTTGATCTCCTATTTCAGAGCATCTCCCTTATACCAATCTACAGATTCTAGGATAGTCCTCTTTACCACAGACCAGGACTTTACAAGAAATAATCCTGGTGCCTTCCTGAGCCAATATTTTCACCTGAGGGGCTCAAAGCTGATCTATTTCTGTTATTGCATCTACCGTGCATCACCCTTTTATCCAGACTGCACTCATAATGCTGTAAGTTCTTTATCATGGTCAGTTTCCTACCCAGATCAGGATATGGTTTGAGTATTTTGTGTGAATTTTTTTGGAGATACATGAACAATCAATGGTTACTTCCCCCAAGATGGTACACCAATGACAGAATCAAAGACAAGATTCTTCCCAAATCTACCATGTAAAATTTTTTGAGTTTTATTAGAGTCCCATAGAGGATAATGGGCAACCTATTTAAGTTTGTATTTTTCTTTGAGAAAGAGTCTCACTGTTTATCTCTCTATGTTCTTGAACTCACTATGTAGAACAGACTAACATTGAATTCATAGAGATCAACCAAGATGCCTCTGATTCCCAGGTGATGACATAAAAGTGTGCTCCATTATGCCTTGTAGTGTGAACTACCTTTCAGTGGTTATATCACTGCAAATCACAGGGAGGTGAGTAGCCTCTGGAGCCTCCACACTATGATGGCACTAATTCTGTACAGGTCACTGGTGTGTAATCACATCTACTGGAACTTAAAAACCACAGGAGTCATGTCATGCCTGCAAGGCAGTGATTCACAGTAAGATGTGGTTTGGTGCTGCTGGAAGGACACAGAACAGTAAAGACACACTGAGCACTTGATCCTTCTCCTCACATGGATGAGCACAGAGGATTCATGCATGCAGACCAGGAATAAATATGGTGGTTTCATGGCTCTAAAATTGATTCTACTCTCCTGAATGCTCCACTATATATGCATTGTCATTTTCTTTCCAACATAAGCCATTTCCCTAGGAACAACATTTTAGCAATATTACTTCCTTCGTGCTCCTCTTTCCTTGTTCAGAATTCTTTTTGTGAGGGCATAAAACCTGCTTCTCTCCAGCTGGTCATTTCACCTAAAATGTTGGCATTTTACTTTGAGCACCAGCATCATCAAGAATAGTTACTATTAGTCTTACTTTATACTGTGATTATAGGCTCAGGGGTGTTTATAACTTGGAGAGGCACATGATTGCTGAACTTTCAGATAGTATTACAATAGAGATGGGAAAAATGTTTTGGTTGTGTAGATATTTGAATTAAAATACCCCTTTCTACTATCATAATTTGCACATGGAAAATATATTGTCTAAAATGTAAAGATCATCCAAACATGAACTGAAAATTAAAGTTTCCAAAATGCACAAAGTTACTGTTCAAGAAATAGATAATCAACACTCTGCAGTGCCAGGATCTAGCATCATGAAGTACCAATGTGGGTAGATTTTCTCTTCCATTTGTGAGTGTTGTAGGGTCAGATATCGAAGAGAGTGTTAGTAGCTGTGGGAGGCCAGTGCACTATTTCCAGATTGGTACTGGGAGAGCTCTACTGATTGCCTTGTGCCCAGGGTGACACTAAAATGCATTAATTTTTACTTTGATCCACAGGCATCTGTCCAGTTTGAGGGCATCAGTTTTGGTATTAAAGTCACACTGTACCCATTCTTCCCAGGTTGGGATCCAGTATCCCATGTAATTCAAGGCAGTATCTCCATTTCAAGCTCTACTAACCAACAAATATAGAAACCCCTAGCTGTATTTTCCCCTCTATGTATATCAGTTCACTTTCTGTTTACTTAATAGTTATAGTTGTTATGAAGGATTCCTGTTAACTTAGCTGATAGTTTATGATGTTATAAGGACAACAACAGGCAACCCTCTGACTCATATTCTGGTGAGGATACTGTTTGCTCTGTCATAGAATGCTAGAATAGTTGAAAGGAAATGCCAATGGACAGAAAGTAAAAACTGCATTGTAGGTAATGGATTTTCTACCAACATACTCCAGTAGGAACACATCAAGCTTCCAGAGAGCTGCAGTACTATTTCCAAGGACGATACTCATATATATGTGATGTTATTTATTTGGGTGTGACGTAAAAGTCACTACAGCATACACACTCACACTTGTCCAGATTTAAGCACATTGGCATTAATCAGCAGGCCAGTTGTATGAAAATATTCCTCAGAAGTGGGAACAAACATCAATTCATGTGAGACAGGGAACTGGTGAAACATAAAAGTGAGGATAACACCAAAGTCCAACCTGATGAACCAATGAGTTTTATTTATAAATATGTGGGTTAGATGCAAAAACATGAATATAAGTGACTCAAATACAACTGACTGACAAAATCCACACCCATATGTGAGACAGTTCCTGCAAAGTAGATACACAGAGAGCCCAGACCAACTGGCTCGAGAGTATATTTTCTCGGCAGCACAGCTATCAGGGACATTGATGGAAATCTCAGACCAAAATTCTTTAAGTTAATGTTAGAACTAATAGTGGGGATATAATCATTAAAGAAGAACATACTCCTTTTGAGTTGACTATGGTGTCAGTAGGACCATTACAATAGACAAGGTCCCAAGAGAAGGAAGTTTGTGGAAATTTTCACATGGTGCAATTCACCCTTAGAAAGAAGCTCATGCCACTTCTGCCCTGGGTTGTCCTTTAGTTCAGTGTAATTTTTTCCTCTAAATTCCCTGTTGCTGACAAGGCAGCTCCTCCTACTCATTCTTCTGCATCTACAACTCAATATTTGTCCTCCATTAACCCTTCTCTCCTGATCACAGCTCCTCATACAATACTCCAGATTCTTCATCAATATTCCATTCAGTAATGCTCACTGGAGGAAAGTCACTAGCTTCCATTTAAGACAGGAGGATAACATTTACAACTGCTCAACCTCAAAGCAAGTCCTAATGTCCTTATCATTCTCTTGAGGTAAGATGATTTTTATAACTTTTCTTGTGAACCCACTTCTCTGGTAACATGGAGAAATATTAAAATCTTGGTTCCAATACTCACAGTAAGAAATATTAAAAGAGTGGGTAAACAACTATAAGTATTAATAAAAAGCCATATAGAAGTCTGCTATTTATAATAAAACTGAAAAACAGAATTTCAAAAGTGTGTAATAGAGGTAATCTACATAGATGTATAATCCCTGGCAGCAATATATTATTAAAGAAAAGTTTAATAGACAGCTACTGAGGTGGTTTTAATATAATTGGTCACTGACAGCTCATAGAGATTGACAGTATTAGGAGATATGGCCTTGTTGGTGTAGGTGTAACATTGCTGGAGGAAGTGTGTCTCATTTCACTTCCTATGTCTTAGGATCAAGATGTAGAGCCCTCAGATTCTCTCTAAAGCCATGTTTGTCTGTATGTCATCATTCTTTCATGTCATGCTGATAATAGACTAAACCTCTGAACAACATGTTAGCCCCAATTAAATATTTTCCTTTATATGAGTTGCCATTGTCTTGGTGTCACAGCAATAAAACCCTAATTAAACAGAAGTTGGTAACAGGACCTGAGTATTGCTTTGTGATAAAGGTCCTGGAGAGATGATGGATAACAGGAACATACCTGAACATAATAAAAGCAATCTACAGTAAACCAACAGCCAACATCAAACTAAATGGACAGAAACTCAATGCAATTCCTCTAAAATCAGGAACAAGACAAGGCTGTCCACTCTCTCCATATCTCTTCAATATTGTACTTGAAGTTCTACCTAGAACAATAAGACAACAAAAGAAGATAAAATGGATACAGATTGGAAAGTAAGAAGTCAAACTTTCATTATGTGAAGATGATATGATAGTTTGCATATGTGACCAAAAAACTCTACACAAGAACTCATATAGCTGATAAACACTTTAAGCCATGTGGTAGGATAAAGATTAACTCAAAAATCAGTAGCCCGATTATATACAGATGATAATTGGGCTGAGAAAGAAAGAAGAGAAACATCACCTCTTACAATAATCACAAACAACATAAAATATTTTGGAGTACCACTAATAAAACAAATGAAAGACCAGAGTAGTGAGAATTTTGAGTCTTTAAAGAAATAAATTAAAGAAGATACCAGAAAATGGAAACATCCCCCATGGTCTTGGATAAGTAGGATCAACATAGTAAAAATGGCAATCTTGCCAAAGCAATCTACAGACTCAATTCAATCCCCATCAAAACACTAGTATAATTCTTCACAGACCTTGTAAGAACAATAATCAGCTTTATATAGAAAAACAAAATACCCAGGATAAAAGAACCCTGTACAACAAATGAATTTCTGAAGGCATCACCATTCCTGACTTCAACTCCATGATGGAGCTATAGTCCTGAAAACAGCTTGGTACTGGCACAAAAATAGACAGGTAGACCAATGGAATCAAATTGAAAACCCTGATATTAACCCAAACACCTACAATCACCTGATGTTTGACAAAGAAGCTAAAATTATACAATGGAAAAAGGAATCATCTTCAACAAATGTTGCTGGTATAACTGAATGACAGCATGTAGAAGACTACAGATAGATCCACATCTATTGCCATACACAAAACTTAAGTACAAATGGATCAAAACCTCAACATAAATCCAGCCACACTGAATCTCATAGAAGAGGTACCCTTGAATACATTGGTACAGGAGACTGCTTCCTGAACATAACCCTGATAGTAGACACTGAGATCTACAATTATTAAATGGGACCTCCTGAAACTGAAAATCTTCTGAAAGCAAATAACTCAGTCAAAAATACAAAATGGCAGTCCACAGAATCAG